TAACTTTATACATGGTGCACTTTCAGATTTAAAACTTTGCAGGATGTTTTCATTCACTTAGAGCTGTGTTACACACTGCATGAAAGGTCATTTTCAAAAATCCATATAGGGGCACTTTAATATTTTTGTGGAAACCCTGATAACATTTTTTCAGGATTCTTTAATGAATAGACAGTTTAACAAAAAACATAATTTATTTGAAATAGAAAGCTTTTGACATTATGAATGTCGGTACTCTCCCTTTTATCTATTTAATGCATCATTGCCTAATAAAATTATAAATTTTATCTGCTTTACAATACAAGACTACAGAGGAGGAGGTGCAGCTGTCTGCAAACATCTTCATTTTGTGGAGTGAACTTTTTAAAGAGTCTAGACGGGTTGACCGCAGCCTGGCAAAAGTAAAAAAGACCTTTGCAGAGGTAGTACCGATCATTTACCAATAAAGTTAAATTCCTGTAGAGAAGCAATATATTTGGTCTTTGATTTCTAAATGTTCCAATTCCAATGTTCCAATCAGATCACTCTAAACCAGATTGAGGAGTATAAACAGGAGCTCTCCATATTTGCAGAGAGCTTCAACATGCATGGGCCTGGAGCCGTGGGAGATGATCTAGAGAAAGGCAAGAGTACTATCCTGATGGGTTTTGTTTTTCATATAATACCATCCTAGTATTACATAACTTTTGTTTTTGTACTCTTATAGGTTTGAAGATCATGGCTACCTATGAGACGGAGCTGGATAGGGTAGAGGCAAGCCGTCAGGAACTGGCTAAAGCTGAGAAACTGTTCAACCTGCCCATCACTATGTACCCAGAGCTTCTCAGTGTACAAAAGGAGATGAAGGGCCTGAGACAGATTTATGAGATTTATAAAAGCCAGAAGGTTAGAATGACAATTCATTATATAAACTTTGACTCACTATGTTGTTCAAATGTTCTGAGGAGTTGTGACACCAGTGTGTGTATATTCATCAGGAGGCTAAGGCAGAGTGGTCACAGACCCTTTGGGTGAATCTGGACATAAAGCTCCTGCAGGAAGGTATAGAGGGACTTATCAAGAGCTTGCGGAAGCTGCCAAAGGATGTGAGAGCTCTTCCTGTATCTTTCTTCCTGGAGGGCCGCATGAAGGAATTTAAAGAGTCAATCCCTCTCCTCTTGGACCTAAAAAATGAGGCTCTCAGGAACAGGTAAATACTTTAAAGATTTTGTTTTACAATGTTTCAACTTAAGGTAACATGGGCCTTAAGGGATCTTCAAAAAGTTAGCTTAATCTAAGATAAACACTAGCTATTTTTATATGCATTATGAGACTCAAGTGCTCACTTGGTTTCTGCAGGCACTGGAAAGATCTAATGGAGAGGACAGGCACCAGCTTTGAGATGAACCCAAGCACTTTCACTCTGGAGAACATGTTCTCCATGGAGCTGCACAAATATGGCAACGTCATCAGTGAAATCGTCACATCAGCTGTGAAGGAGCTCGGCATTGAGAAGGTTAGAAATCTCATTAATAATTAAATTCAGCTGCACTTCTTATTATAGCAATTATAGGTTTGAATTTCAACACAAATATTAAAGAGATATTCCACCTAAAATTTTGTCATTGTTTACACACCCTCAGGTCATTCCAAACCCATGCATTCCTTTCTTCTTTGGAACATAAAAGAAGATAGTATAGAAAGAAAAATGTTGATAACCAAACAATGATTTCCATTTGATTTTTATCCATACAATATAAGTCAATGGGAACTGAAACTGCTTATCAACATTCTTCTAAATATCCTCTTTTATGCTCCACAGAAGAAAGAGATGCACATAGTTTTAGAACAACATGAGGGTAAATAAATGTAAATGATGAGAGATTACAGAGTATGCTTGTGTGCATTTTTTACAGGGAGTTAAAGAAGTGGAGGCAACTTGGGAAACTATGAAATTTAGTGTGCAGCGGTTTTTAAAAGGCACACAGGAGCATGGTTTCATTCTTGGTGTTGTGGATGACATCCTTCAGCGCCTGGATGATGATGCCATGAACCTGCAGAGTATGGCAGGCAGCCACTATGTTGGTCCCTTCCTGGCCACTGTACAGCAGTGGGAGAAGAATCTATCACTCATCAGTGAGATTATTGAGGTCAGTGGAAAACATCACTGCCAACAACAACTTGACTTTAAAACTGCACTGGCTCACGTTCATATTTCTTTACTTTTATTCTGAAATGTGTAGGTATGGATGTTAGTACAGCAAAAATGGATGTACCTGGAAAGCATCTTCATTGGAGGTGACATTCGCACTCAGCTACCTGAGGAAGCCAAAAAATTTGACAATATTGACAAAATGTTCAAAAAAGTAAGGTTCTGCACCAACAACAAATACGTAACCCTGTTTTTGAAAAGAATGTAAATCCCTTCTCCTCTTTTGAATACCACCAGATAATGACTGACACAGTGAAGGACCCTGGCATTAAGAGATGCTGTCTGGTTCCAAATCGTCTGGCCGATCTGCAGAACCTAAGCGATGGTTTGGAGAGGTGTCAAAAGAGTCTTAATGATTATCTTGATTCCAAGCGGAACGCTTTCCCACGTTTTTTCTTCATTTCTGACGATGAGCTGCTCAGTATCCTGGGCAGCAGTGAGCCTACTTGTGTGCAGGAGCACATGATCAAGGTACTTTTGTGTACTAAAGAAAAGCATCACTTTAAAGTTGGCGTGAAGTAAATATTCACCCTAACTGTTTTGTAAATGCAGCTTGTTGATCTTTTTGGGAATGATTCCCATGCATTTCATTTTTAAAATTCCAGTAAAATAGCAGACTTCCTAGTGGCATCAGTGCTGCATTACGCAAAAGCAATCAAGTTACCCCTGCCATTACCATTACCATTGTACTATTCACAGTCAACCTTGATTAGTTTACATGAGCTAAAGTGTCCGAAAATGTGAACTACAGGGATATAACAAGTACAATTTGGCCAGTCATATGAGCTCAAAAAGTTTGTTAAACTGTGCGTGTTGACCCATTCCAAGTACAATAAAATAATAATAAAAAAAATAGACAACTTACTATTATTTAAAGGGATACTCCACCCCAAAATGAATATTTTGTCATTAATCACTTACCCCCATGTCATTTTATATATATTATTCATCATATTTTGGATGAAAACCGGGAGGCTTGTGACTGCCCCATTGACTGCCAAGTAAATTACACTGTCAAGGTCCAGAAAAGTGTGAAAGACATTGTCAGAATAGTCTGTCTGCCATCAGTGGTTCAACCGTAACGTTATTAAGTGACGAGAATACTTTTTGTACGCGAAGAAAACAAAAAAAATGAATTTATTCAATAATTCGTCTCCTCTGTGTCTCTCTGCGCTGTTTTTGTTCAAATCAAAGCGTAAATGCACGTAGAAAACATATCCTTGTGTCGCGGCTGACACAGAAAAGCATACGCTGCTTGCGTTCAGTGGTTATTCTCCAAAATGGCGCTACGGTGATGCGGAGAGACACGTCTGCCATCAGTGGTTCAACTGTAACGTTATTAAGTGACGAGAATACTTTTTGTACGCGAAGAAAACAAAAAAAAGAATTTATTCAATAATTCGTCTCCTCTGTGTCTCTCTGCGCTGTTTTTGTTCAAATCAAAGCGTAAATGCACGTAGAAAACGTATCCTTGTGTCGCGGCTGACACAGAAAAGCATACGCTGCTTGCGTTCAGTGGTTATTCTCCAAAATGGCGCTACGGTGATGCGGAGAGACACAGAGGAGACGAATTGTTGAATAAAGTCATTATTTTTGTATTCTTCGTGTACAGAAGGTATTCTCGTCACTTAATAACGTTACGGTTGAACCACTGATGGCAGACGGACTATTCTGACGATGTCTTTCATACTTTTCTGGACCTTGACAGTGTAATTTACTTGGCAGTCAATGGGACAGTCACAAGCCTCCCGGTTTTCATCCAAAATATCTTACATTAAGTTCCGAAGATGAACGAAGCTTTTAGGGGTTTGGAACGACATGGGGGTAAGTGATTAATGACAAAATATTCATTTTGGGGTGGAGTATCCCTTTAAGCTTTCCTCAACCATATATTAAAATCATTTAAATTAACTAAATTTTGGTCCAAAATTAACAGCTGCACAACAGACCATAAATGAAACAATCATCCTGTTTTTCCTCATCCATAGATGTATGACAACATAGCAGCATTGCGTTTTGATACGGGAATGAATGGAGAGATGGTGGCAAGTGCAATGGTTTCTGCCGAGGGGGAGGTGATGGAGCTCAAACAGCCTGTACCTGCAGAGGGCCGTGTGGAGGACTGGATGACGGGAGTGCTGCTGGAGATGAGGAGAACCAACAGACTCATCACCAAAGAAGCTATTTACTTCTACAACCACCGAAAGACTAGGTGAGGACATGCACTAAACCATCATGAGTCAGTGCTACCAATCAAAATTTCTGATTGAACTTGCTTGTCTGTCTGATTGAAAGAATTTGTGGAAATTTTATAATGTGGCGTTCTACCTGCCCGTCAGGGTGGACTGGATGCTTGACTACCAGGGAATGGTGGTGCTGGCGGCAAACCAGGTGTGGTGGACCTGGGAGGTGGAAGACGTCTTCAAAAGGATGAGTCAAGGAGAAAAGCAGGCATTGAAACAGTATGCAAAGAAAATGCACAAGCTGATCGATGACCTGGTGAGGCGCATCACACAACCCTTAAAGAAAAATGACAGACGGAAAATCAACACTGTGCTCATTATTGATGTCCATGCTAGGGATATTGTGGACACTTTTGTCAGAGATAGGTAATATACAAAGACTTTACAGTCACTTAAAACCTCCAATTGGTTGCAGTTTCCTTCCTAACACACACTTTTTCTGTGGGCAGTATCACAGATGCCCGTGAGTTTGAATGGGAGAGTCAGTTGAGATTCTACTGGGTTAAAGAGCCTGATGAGTTGTTTGTGCGGCAGTGCAGTGCTCAGTTCTCCTACGGCTATGAGTACATGGGGCTGAATGGCCGGTTGGTCATTACTCCCCTAACTGACCGTATCTACCTCACACTTACTCAGGTACTCTGACAACACAGTTGTCTGGCTCTAAATGGCCTGTTTTGTATGTGCATGTCTTATTAAAACATGGTATCATGTATTGTCAGGCCTTGTCTATGTTCCTGGGTGGAGCACCAGCCGGTCCTGCGGGTACGGGGAAAACTGAATCCACTAAAGATCTGGCTAAAGCTTTGGGGCTTTTGTGTGTGGTCACCAACTGTGGAGAGGGCATGGACTACATGGTAAGAGATGTGCTGCTTTGTATTCTTGTGGAAGTAGTGACACATTTTTGTTTTCCAGAATTCTTTGATAAATAGAAAGTTCAAAAGAACAGCTTTTATTTGAAATAGAAATCCTTTGTTAAAGTTTAGATGTCTTTAATGTCACTTCCCGATCATTTAAATGTGTTATTAAATTAGATTTTGATTTCTTATCCTCTAGGCTGTTGGGAAAATCCTTTCTGGTTTAGCTCAGTGTGGAGCCTGGGGCTGTTTTGATGAGTTCAACCGCATTGACGCTTCAGTGCTGTCAGTCATCTCCTCCCAGATCCAAACCATCCGAAACGCTCTAATGCTGCACCTCAAGAGGTTTCATGTGAGTTTGTTAATGGGATATTTTTTCTGAGCCACTAGTCAAATACTGAAAGATAATTGTTGTAATTATTTCAGGCTCTGAGTGTCTCTGAGGCTTTGTGTTGTTAGTTTGAAGGTCAAGAAATCAGTCTGGATAGCCGTATTGGGATCTTCATCACGATGAACCCTGGTTATGCTGGCCGCACAGAACTTCCAGAGTCAGTGAAAGCTTTATTCAGACCAGTGGTAGTCATTGTACCGGACCTGCAGCAGATCTGTGAAATCATGCTCTTCTCTGAAGGCTTCCTCATGGCTAAGGTGGGGACTCCTTCTTTGTGAAAATGAAGGCTGGGCTTTCAGTAGATTAAATGAAGTAGAAAATTCAGTCATCATTTACTCACCCCACAAGTCCCTCCAAACCATAAGTATTTTGTTCATCTTCAAAACATAAATGAAGTTCTATCATGACAACATGACATAACGCTGCTACACAAATAGCACATAAAATAACCCGTAGCAGATCTATACAGGTGGAGCTGGGGAAGGTGAAGGGTTTCAGAGGAACTCTGAAAGCACGCTGCAAAATGCTCAAGTGAATGCTAACCAACCATTTAAATGTAAAGCAGCAAGCTCATTGGCTGCGTATGGAACATGAACCAATCAGCTTGTGCCAAGTCTTTTAATGCTTAGAATATCATCACTTTACGTTAAGGACCCATCAGCCTGTGCCATGTAGAGTTTCATGACAGAACTTTGCATATATTTTTAATGAAACCTAAGAGATTTCGGTGACTCCAGTAAAAGTACATGCAACCAACACTTGAATGCTTCAAAAAGGTTTTATTAAAAATATAAAAGTCTTATGGCTTTGGAATGACATAGGAGAGAAGTATGACAGAATTAAAAATTTAGGGTGAACTATCACTTTAAAATATATGTCTTTGTAAAGAAAAATAATCTAATGTGTGTACGTGTTTTGTTGCCTATTTTGTGTGGAAATACAGCAATACAAAGCTGTTAGACATTTCTACTGGTCATTCACAAAAATTCTTAGATTAAGTTTCAATAGAATCTCACAAAAGCATTACTAATTAGAATAAATATAAATATAGAATAAATTATGGAATTTTTAAAAATCAAAAACATGCACATGAACATTGAACAACGGTCCTCAGACCTCAGTGGTTTTAATTGTGTAAACAGGCAAACAGAAAACTAATTTCATAAATGATTTACTTGCAGGTTTTGGCAAAGAAGATGACAGTGCTGTACAAACTAGCACGGGAGCAGCTGTCTAAACAGTCACACTATGACTTTGGGCTTAGAGCACTGAAGTCAGTGTTAGTAATGGCAGGGGAGCTAAAGAGAGGTTCACCTGATCTCAGTGAGGTACTGATCTCTCTGCATCATCCTCTCCTCCTCCAACCCACCTCAGTGAACTGTAGTCACAAATGTACTCCTGTTTTCTTTCTCTCCTTTTCTCCTTTCTTTACTCCCTCTAGGATGTCGTTTTAATGAGGGCTCTTCGAGATATGAACCTGCCCAAGTTTGTATTTGAGGACGTTCCTCTGTTTTTGGGCCTTATCTCAGATCTGTTCCCCGGGCTTGACTGCCCACGTGTGCGTTACCCCAGCTTTAATGACGCTGTAGAGGCCACCTTGCAGGAGAATAAATGTATTGTGTTGCCCAACCAGGTGATTCTTCCCTTCAGAACTCATTCTCAATGGATTGTAATGATTAAGTGTACTGATTCATGACTAAAATTGTGAATGTAGGTGGACAAAGTGGTGCAAATGTATGAGACCATGATGACCAGACACACAACCATGGTGGTTGGACCGACAGGAGGAGGGAAATCTGTGGTGATCAACACACTCTGCCAATCACAGACTAGGTCTTTGTCTACTCATAAACAATATATATATAAAAAAATTATAATTATGATATTTTTTGCCATGCTTTGTAATAGCGGTGAATTAAAGAAATATAAGTGTTTCTTACCACACCTGAAACTGCATGCATAATTTTATAACTTGTTTTAATAATGTATTCTTATTGTGTAATTAATTTATTTTTAATCTTTCATTTAATTTTGCAGTTTACTTCCCTACTCTCTATGATTTTCATTTTGATGGAACCCAAAAGAAGTGGGTTCCCTGGAGCTCCATGGTCTCAAAATACATTCATAACCCTGATATGAAATTCATTGACATCCTTGGTAAAGCAGCTTACTTCTCATCGCTTCTTCTTTGCGTTTCTGTCCCTTTCTCTATAAACTTTTTTCCTTCTCTCTACTAATCTACACTACTGGTGAAAAGATTGGAAATACTGAGATTTTTCATGTTTTTGAAATATGTTTTTTATGCACACCACCAAAAATACAGTAAAAAAAAGGAATATTGTGAAATATAATTGCAACTTAAAATAACTGTTCTCTACTTTAATATATTTTAAAATGTAATTTATTTCTGTGATGGCAAAGTATAATTTTCAGCAGCCATTGCTATATATTTTTTTCAATTCATACATTACTTGTAAACACCCTTTTCAAAGCAGAAAGTCATTAGTATATCTGAAAATGAACAAACTTGGCAGTCTGAAGCTTTTATTGTTGGTTATAACACTTTTTTTCTCTGACCCCTGTAGGAGATCCTGGAGGAGTATAATGAAAATAAGACCAGGATGAACTTGGTGCTTTTTGATGATGCTCTGGAACACCTGACCATCATTCACCGCATCATCAGAATGGACCGTAGTCATGCATTGCTGGTTGGCGTTGGTGGTTCAGGAAAGCAGTCTCTTACAAAGCTCGCTGCCTTCACTGCAGGATATGAGGTAATTCATCAGCTCAATCTGTTTTGTATGTAATGTTTCCTGTATTTTTTCCACTTTTATTTATTTTGTTCTAATTTGGTAATTTAGCTATGTGTTTGTTTATAGGTGTTTGAAATTGTGCTTAGTAGAGGATACTCAGAGACTAACTTGCGTGAGGATCTAAAAACTCTGTACCTTAAATTGGGTATAGAGAATAAGAAAATGGTCTTCCTGTTCACTGATGCCCATGTGGCTGAGGAAGGTTTTCTGGAGCTCATCAACAACATGCTTACATCAGGTATTTAAAACAACTGACTTAATGAAGTTTAATTAAACTATTTACTTTGAATTCCTTTGGATGCAAACATGAACAAATGTCACCGTTTTTTGGATTGTATTAAAATGAAATGCTAACAGCAATTACTGTGTGTTGTCAGGGATGGTTCCAGCACTGTTCCCTGATGACGAGAAGGAATCAGTCCTGAACCAGCTGCGAGATGAGGCTATGAAAAATGGCTCTGGTCCTTCGAAAGAGAGTGTATGGCAATACTTTGTCAATAAGAGTGCCAACAACTTGCACATAGTGCTGGCCATGTCACCTGTAGGAGACACTCTCAGAACACGTTGTAGGAATTTCCCAGGTGTGTGAACAATGTATCAAAAATGAGGTCTTACTGTTACTTTCAGAGTTTCATATGATCTTTGTTTTTTTTTCACTTGTGTGTGTTTTGTGCATCAGGATTGGTTAATAATACAAGCATTGACTGGTTCTCCCCATGGCCCCTTCAGGCCCTACAAGCAGTGGCCAATTCCTTCTTAGGTTTGTCTTGACTAGAGAATTTAATGCAGTTTATAGATATGATCATTATTTTTCAACAGCCAACAACAATGCAGCTCATTCATGCTAGTTTAAGTATTGTGTCTCATTCCAGGTGAGAATCCAATGATCCCAGAGTGTCATTCAGAGGCAGTGATTGCTCACGTGTGCATGGTGCACAGCTCTGTAGGCGAGTATAGTAAACTGTTCCTGCAGACACTCCGTCGCAGCAACTACGTCACCCCAAAAAACTACCTGGACTTCATTAGCACCTACTCCAACTTGCTTGAGGATAAAGATAAATACATACTGGGTAAGAGCAAATTTCTCTTTAGCTGTTTGGGAACATTCGTATGTGATTTTGAAATATCATACTGCATCTGTATCAGTGTTGTTATTGTTAATTAAAACTAAAATAAAAAAAACAATAAATATTAGAAATGTTGCTGTGGCAACTAACTGAAATGTTGAAACTAATAAAGATGACAAAATCACAAAAAAATGACTGAAATTAAAACAAAAACAGAAAATCTAAAAAAAAAAATATAATTCCAAATATTAATAAAGACTATAATAATATATAAATACTAAAATAACACTAATCTGTATGCACTATCCAGCACAATATAAACGTCTAGAAGGAGGTTTGGATAAGCTGAAGGAGGCAAGCGGGCAGCTAGCAGAGCTTAACACCAAGCTAGCTGAGCAGAAAGTGGTGCTGGCAGAGAAGACTTCAGCCTGTGAGATCCTTCTAGAAGAGATCTGCTCTAATACTGCTGTTGGTTAGTATAACATCACATACAAGCACTATAGGTAATTTATATCAAGTCAAAAATAGATTGTAAACTCTGTCTCTTTCAGCGGAGGAGAAGAAAGCCTTGGCAGAGGAGAAGGCTAAAGAGATAGAGGAACAGAATAAGGTGATAGTGGTGGAGAAGAAGGATGCTGAGAGCTCTCTAGCTGAGGCTCTGCCTGCTTTAGAAGCTGCTCGCCTCGCCCTGCAAGACCTGGACAAATCTGATGTCACAGAAATCAGGTGGTCACTGTGCTTCTTGACTCGTAACACTAAATCAAAACACAACATTCTCATAAAGTTGTAAATCATATGTAGGACTTTTTTCCATTGTTGAATTAAAAAAAAAACATATTTAATTTGTATTTTTAAAATATATATATATATATATATATATATATAAAACAGAAAAAGAAAAATAGGCAAAGTGTTTTTCTGGTCTACATGATTTACATGTATGGTTCTGTGCTCATCTTCTCCTCCACCCTCTTGTTTGTGGTATTGTAGATCATTTGCCAAGCCACCCAAACAGGTGCAGGTTGTGTGCGAGTGCATCCTGGTGATACGTGGCTATAAAGAAATCAGCTGGAAGACAGCCAAGGGCATGATTTCAGAGGCCAACTTCCTGCGATCGCTTATGGAAATGGACTGTGACTCAATCACTGGCAATCAAGTCAAGACTGTCAAAGGTAAACCACCCTCGATGTATTCATCTTGATGCTACTCTGTGATCCCAATGCCATGAGGAGGTGTTTAACTCTTTAACGTAAACCCACCCATGAAAATTCTGATGATCTATTGTATTACCTTCTCCTTGCCATATAACCAGCCTACCTAAGGAACCTCAACACCAGTTTGGAGGAGATGCAAGCCATCAGTAAAGCTGGTTCTGGCATGCTAAGGTTCGTGGAGGCAGTCATGGGTTACTGTGATGTGGCCAAAGACATCAAACCTAAGAGAGAGAAGGTCTGATATGCTTATATAACTGAGACTATACCAGTTGCGTAAAGTTTATTACATCTCATTTAGCTGAAATTAAATCACAAAATTACATTTAAAGGTAGCTCGTCTGGAGAGGAATTTCTTCCAGAGCAAACGTGAGCTGGAGCGAATCCAGAATGAGCTCAGTGCCATCCAGAAAGAGCTTGGAACTCTTGGAGACAAATATGAGGCTGCCATGACAGAAAAGCAACTTCTTCAGGAGGAGGCCGAGGTCATGGAGAGAAGACTCATTGCTGCTGACAAACTCATCTCAGGCCTGGGATCAGAGAATAAGCGGTCAGCCTACTCATTAAAATGATAAAAACCTGAATGCAAATGACTCATAGAAGAACCGATTCCTGACATCAAGGTTTAAATTATTCTCTTCAAGCTAAATGAGATTTTAGTCATTAGTCATGTGCTGTATGTCTATCTGCATATAGCTGGATGGAGGACCTGGAGGAGCTGCAGCAGCGGCGAGTGCGTCTTCTAGGAGACTGTCTGGTCTGTGCTGCCTTCCTCAGCTACGAGGGAGCATTTAGCTGGGACTTTCGCTATGAAATGGTGTATGAGGTGTGGCAGGCAGATGTCCTGGAGAGAGGCATTCCTTTGAGCCAGCCTTTCCGAATAGAAAACCTGCTCACTGATGAGGTGGAGATCAGCAGGTGAGTCACCAAGTGATGTGTAGAAGAATAGAAATCAATTGTGTATTTGTTTGTGATGACGGAAAAACTGTGTGCATTCTCTTAGATGGGGATCTGAAGGTCTTCCTCCAGATGAACTTTCAGTGCAGAATGGCATCCTGACCACCAGATCCAGCCGCTTCCCCTTGTGCATTGACCCCCAGCAGCAAGCCCTCAACTGGATCAAAAAGAAGGAAGAGAAGAGCAATCTGAAGGTTTACGTCATTATATCACTTAAGGCTGCTTTGTTTATATGTAATCAATCTTGGTCTATTTTTATAATCAATATTCTGATTTTCAGATCTCATCATTCAATGACCCAGACTTCTTGAAGGGGCTGGAGCTAGCCATTAAGTATGGTTTCCCCTTCCTTTTCCAAGATGTGGATGAATATATTGATCCAGTTATTGACAACGTCCTTGATAAGAATGTAAAAGGGCCAGAGGGACGTCAGGTTGTCGTACTTGGTGATAAGGAAGTTGACTATGATCCCAACTTTAAACTTTACCTCAATACCAAACTTGCAAACCCCAAGTTCTCTCCTGCAGTATTTGGGAAGGCCATGGTTATCAATTACACAGGTGAGAGCAAACTTTTTAGCAAATCAGTTGACACCAGGTCTCAACACCTGGAAGTATACAACACTCTCAATTTATCACAAATGTATTCACACTGAGTCCAGTGCCAATTTTTGATCATTATTTTAATTACAGTTTAAAAAAATCACCTAGTTTTTACATTTACATTTAGTCATTTAGCAGACGCTTTTATCCAAAGCGACTTACAAATGAGGACAATAGAAGCAGTCAAAACTAACAAAAGAGCAACAATATATAAATGCAAATGTCAAGTCTCAGATAGCCTAACGCAGTACACGTAGCAAGGTATATACACACACACACACACACACACACACACAAAGAAAAACAAGTAGATAGAATAGAGAAAAATAGAAAGCTAGTGTTTTTTTTTTTTTTTATAAAAAAAGAAGATAAATAGATATTATATAGATAGAATTAAAATAGAATAAAAAGTGCTAGAGTTAGAGGGTCAAATAAAGATGGAACAGATGTGTTTTTAGTCGTGTTCTTGAAGATGGCTAAGGACTCAGCTGCTCGGATTGAGTTGGGAGTCAAACATTTTAGGAGTCAAAATGCATTTTTTCTGACTTGGATGTGAATATGCGTTTAGTCTGGGACTTTACAGCTTTTCATTTAATCTTTCTGTTTTTTCAGTAACCCTAAAGGGCCTGGAAGACCAGCTGCTGAGTGTTATTGTGGGATTTGAGCAGAAGGACAAGGAGGAGCAGAGAGAACGGCTTATTCAAGAGACTAGTGAGAACAAACGTTTGCTGAAAGACCTTGAGGACTCGCTGTTGAGAGAGCTGGCCACCTCCACAGGAAACATGCTAGATAACGTAGAGCTCATACAGACTCTGGAAGAAACCAAGACCAAAGCCAGTGAGGTTAGTTAATTGCACACCACACACATGCATAATGGCCTATTAATTATTTCATAAATATTTATCACAGAGACTAGTACGCTGCCATTCAAAAATTTGGATTGGTAAGATTTTTTAATGTTTTCAAAAGATGTCTCACGAAGAATGCATTTATTTGATCAAACATACAGTGGCAAAATGACAAAAAATACTTTACTGTATTTGACAGATGTTTCTATTTTAATATATTTTAAAATCTTATTTATTCCTGTGATGGCAAAGTTGAATTCTCAGCAGACATTGCTGCAGTCTTCAGTGTCACACGATCTAGCACACAATGATTCCAATATGTTGATTTAGTGCTCATGAAACATTTCTGATTATTATCAATGTTGAAAACAGTTGCACTGCTTAATATTTTTGTGCTTATACATTTTTTCAGGATTATTTGATATAGAAATTTCAAAATAACAGCATTTATTTGAAATCAGATTTTTTTTGTACCCATATAAAAGTCATTACTATGACTTTTGATCAATTTGATGCATCCTTGCTTAATGAAATTAATAATTTTGTACCGTCTTCAAACTTTTGAATGTTAGTGTACATACGGATTAATTAAATTTAACAGGATATGTGCAGTTTACAATTTAACAATCATTATTTGACTCCAAAAGGTGTTCGAAAAACTGAAGCTGGCAGAAAAGACAGCCAAAGATATTGAGACACTGAGAGACGGCTACCGTCCGGCTGCCAAGCGGGGAGCTGTCTTGTTCTTTGTGCTGGCTGAGATGGCTCTGGTCAACACCATGTACCAGTATTCACTTGCTTCCTTTTTAGAGGTGTTTGACCTCTCACTGTCCAAGTCTATGCCCAACTCAATCCTGCCCACTAGACTGAAGAACATCATGGATACACTTACACAGAATATCTATAACTATGGCTGTACTGGTGAGCCTGTTAAACTCTTAAAGTCTAATGGATTCTGATCACAAATTGAAACTTTTTTGTTATATACTGTAATTAACTGCTAAAGAGCATACCATCTGATTAAGACCTTTTATAGTCCATGAACATTAGCAGCTAGTGATGACAGGAAAAAACTGAAATGAAATCACTGTTATTTCTTCAATGGATTTAAACCAAACTTCTGTTTGCATTGTTGTTTAGGTCTGTTTGAAAGACACAAACTTCTCTTCTCCTTCAACATGACCATTAAGATCGAGCAGGGTGAGGGCCGATCACCCCAGGATGAACTAGAGTTCTTCCTCAAAGGTAGAAGCTTCAGGAAGACTTCTCTCCCTCTTTTACAATATAACCATAATAACCATATCTAATGGTTATTATGGCCTCTCTCTCCAGGCAATCTCTCTTTGGAAAAAAGCAAACGTAAAAAGCTGTGTGACTGGCTGCCTGATCAAGGCTGGGAGGATATAGTGCGCCTTATGGAACTCTTTCCTAATGAATTTGGTACTTTAGCAGACGATATAGAAAAGAATCCTGAGGAATGGAGGAAAGTGAGTGGCGGAAATCATCAAACACACCTGATGAACCCACTGTGAGATATGGAGTCCGACCCATAATGTCTTTCTGTTTCTGCTGCAGTGGTACGATTTGGATGCTCCAGAGCAGGCTTCTTTCCCCGTGAAGTACAAGGACAACCTCACTCCCTTCCAGAAGCTTCTGCTGATGCGCTGCTTCAGGCTGGACCGAGTCTATCGTGCTGTCAGTGATTACGTCACGCTTACCATGGGAGAGAAGTACGAGGAAACAGAAATTAACTTATGCATAACATCAGCATCTTAAAAAAACTCTTAAGACCTTTTAAGATTATATTTGTTATATTTGGAGATATTACTCTTCAGCTCTTGGTCTGTGAACTGTAGTTTGGTTATATTTGATTGTTATTTGTCTATTTTTAATCTAACTTTGTAAAGCAACCTTGGGTTTTTGGAAAGGCACTATAAAAATAAAACTTTAGTAAGCACTTTGGAGGGGCAATGAAGACTTAAGGGTGGAATGCACTGCATAACTTTTAAAATTTTTGCTGGCTTGTAAAATTGTTATAGAGAAAAACTGGGCAGAATTTGTCTAGAAATATGCGCCTGGTTGCTAGTAAATGCATGACAAATGAAAACAGTGTGTTCTAAATATGGATGAAAATATCAAACTTTGTTTATATCCTCCGACTGGTATGAACTAAGTTAAAAAAAAAAAAAAGCTAATTGTAACAAAAACAAAAGTCATGGGCTGAAGTAATGCAGTATATTCCAGCCTTAATGTTCATATTACAAACATTCAAGATTTTAATGAACGACAATCAGAAACAATGGCATTTGTTAGGAGAATAAGTGCTAACTTTCTCTTTCTCACTTCTTTACTGTGTCACTCAGATACGTTCAGCCCCCCGTGATCAGTTTTGAAGCCATCTTTGACCAGAGCTCCCCAAACTCTCCCATTGTGTTTATTCTGAGTCCAGGCTCAGAACCAGCCAGTGATCTGATGAAGTTAGCCAAACGCTCCGGCTTTGGGGCCAACAGACTCAAATTTCTTGCCATGGGGCAGGGACAGGAAAAGGTAAATGTGCTCTTCCACAAATACAGATCTATATGTTACAGGTCTGTATGTTATCTATATGCTACAGGTCTGTATGTTATAGTTATGATATCTGACACCAGCACAGTGCACTGCAGTGCTGCATTGCATCTTGACCACCAGTAATATGATAACAGACGTATTTGGGAAATCTATCCTTGAACTCTACAAGACAATCTGTAAAAAGGTACAGATATGACATTTTTTGTTTCAGGTTGCATTGCAACTGTTGGAAACCGCAGTGGCACGAGGCCAGTGGCTGATGCTGCAAAACTGTCACCTGTTAGTGAAATGGCTGAAGGATCTAGAGAAAGCACTGGAAAGAATCACTAAACCCCACCCAGACTTCCGCCTTTGGCTCACCACAGACCCCATTAAAGACTTTCCCATCGGCATCCTGCAGAAATCCCTCAAGGTCAGCACACATTTAATGTGTGAACATTTAATGTGTGAATATCCATTTCCATGTTAACACATTTGTCACCTTCAGGTTGTGACTGAACCTCCAAATGGACTGAAGCTGAACATGAGGTCAACGTATTTTAAGATCCCTAATGATAAGGTGATGAACTGTCCTCACCCAGCCTTTCGCAGTCTGGTTTATGTGCTGGCCTTCTTCCATGCTGTGGTTCAGGAAAGACGCAAGTATGGCAAGATCGGCTGGAATGTGCCTTATGATTTCAATGAGTCTGACTTCCTGGTAAGTCTCCTTTAACCCAAAGGTGCTTGAAATGTTCAGGTAGTTTAAGGTTAGTTTAAGAAACGTTTTATTGTTTTTCAATTATGTTGTTTCATTGCCTCTCAGGTGTGTATGGAAATTTTGGACACCTACCTGACCAAAGCTCACACTCAAGGAGATGCCATGATACCATGGGCAAGTCTCAAATACCTAATTGGCGAGGTAAAAAAATCACATTTAAGTTAATTGTGTCATTTTATAAGCAGAAAGGAACAAGAAAAATTGATAAAGAAAAATAAAAAAATTATAATGATATCTGTAGATCAAAGAATCCTAAAAAATGGAATCATGGTTTCCACAAAAATAATGAAAAAATAAAATAAAGGTTTTCAATGGAAATAAATATAATGGCTTCTGCCATCCCAGGAATAAATAACATTTTGAAATCTATTGAAATAGGAACATTTGTCAAATATAGTAAAGCATTTTGTCTGGTTTGTCTCAGGTGATGTATGGTGGCAGAGCTATTGATAGCTTTGATCGTAGGATCCTCACAGTTTACATGGATGAGTATCTGGGCGACTTCATCTTCGACACCTTCCAGCCCTTCCACTTTTTTCACAATAAAGATGTGGACTACAATATCCCACCAGATGGACCCAAGCAGGTTTATGCTGGTATGTTGCTTCCTACAATCTACCATCAGAAAGACTCTGGTTTGAATTTGACAGACACTCAAACTCTCCACACTTTGCAGATGAGATAGAGTCGCTGCCTCTTGCTAACACAGCAGAGGTGTTTGGTTTGCACCCTAATGCTGAGATCGGATACTACACACAGGCTGCCCGAGACATATGGACTCATCTTATTGAGCTACAACCACAGACAGGTACCTGGTTTATATTGCTTTACAATACTGAAATATGATCACTATTACAATTGTGCCTACATATTAACAATATACAAATTTAAATATACATACAATTAATATATTTGACATATCAGTAAATAACAGTTGTTTTCAAAATGCTATAAATATATTTACTGCCATGTAAAATCTCCAGGTGACTCTGGCGGTGGCATTAGCAGAGATGAGTACATCAGCCAGGTGGCACGGGACATTCAGAGCAAACTACCTGAAGTGTTTGACCTGGACGTGATTCGCAAGAAGTTGGGGCTGGAGATCTCTCCAACGTCTGTAGTGCTGCTACAAGAGCTGGAACGCTTTAATAAACTCACCCTTAGGATGATCCGGTCTCTGGCTGAGCTCCAGCGAGTGAGTGACATGAAGACAAAGAGACAAAAAAAATCAAAAACTGTTCCAGCTTACAATTAATACAACTGTTTATGGTTCATTAAAAGTGGTAGGTTTCACAGCAGACCATGTTTGTGTGTTTTCTGTCTAAAGGCCCTGGCTGGTGAGGTTGGAATGAGCAGCGAGTTGGATGAGGTGGCGAGAGCTCTGTTTAACGGGCAGATTCCTGTTATCTGGAGGAAACTGGCACCAGATACTCTAAAGTCTCTGGGGAACTGGATGATCCACTTCAAGAGGCGACACGAACAGTACAGCTCATGGGTGAGAATCAAATATCACACCATATAAGACAGTATTTTTTTGAAAGGCACCCTCTTAGTTTTTTGTTACTTACTGTCCTATTATTTAAAATAATAGGACAGTAAGTAACAAAAAGCTAAATTTTTAACAAAATAATTTTGTTAAAATGTATAAGCAAGAATAGGATAGACAGACCAATCAATTGCCTGATTATTTGAAATGGCTGAGACACTACTATTTTGTTTGGGTTGGTAAGGCTTTTTCATGATTTTTTTTTTCTGTATTCTTTTTTTAATATGGAGAATAAGTGTCTTATTCTCACCAATGCTGTTATTTGATGAAAAATACAGTAAAACAGTGAAATAGTATTGCAATTTAAAATAACTTGTCTGCTAACATGTTAAAATGTCATTTATTTCTCTGTTGGCAAAGCTGATTTTTTTAGCATTACTCCAGTCTTCAGTGTCACATGATCCTTCAGAAATCATTCTAATATGCTGATTTGGTGGTCATGAAACATTTCTTAATATTATCAGTATTATATTGATATTAATATTTTGTGGCAACTGTGATAATTTTTTTCAGATACTTTGATAAAAATCAAAAGAACAGATTGATTTGAAATAGACTTTTTGGTAACAATTTAAAAATTGACTTTCAAAATCTTACTGACCCCAAACTTTTGAACCATAGTCGATCTATTCACTTGGATGAACAACAGAGGTGTTACTGCCCCCTATTGTCTGTTTAAAAATGTTTAGGTCGGGTCCTGTAAATGAACTTCTAATTGAATTTATCAAATGGGCTACTAACTAACTAACTACATACATACATACATGCATACATAAAAATTTTCCTCATATTGTTTTTCATCTATGTAGGTGGATGAGGGAGAGCCCTGTGTGATGTGGCTGTCAGGCTTGCATATCCCAGAATCATACCTGACAGCACTGGTCCAGGCCACCTGCAGGAAGAACGGCTGGCCTCTGGATCACTCCACTCTTTACACACAGGTTACACACTACAGGAGTGAGGATGAGGTCAAAGAGAGACCAGGACAGGGTGAGACACAACACAACACAACACCCTGCACATAAAAAAATTAACATGAGGACACTGAGACTCAAGCACAGGTTAAAAACACGTTCTTTCTTTTCTCTGTTAGGATGTTTTGTATCAGGCCTGTATCTGGAGGGGGCAGACTGGGACATTGAAAAAGGCTGTCTGGTGCGCAGCAAACCCAGAGTTTTAGTGTCTCAACTACCCATTCTCAAAATCATTCCCATTGAAGCACGCCGCCTCAAACTCCAGGTAAGATCCTTCATATTTTTTTATCATGATGTCTTGAAATATCTGCCTGGAAATACTTGTAATCTGTAATCAATGTGTATTTTTGGTTTACTTTATAGAACACCCTGAGGACTCCAGTCTACACTACCTCTATGAGGAGGAATGCTATGGGTGTTGGACTGGTGTTTGAGGCTGATCTTTTCACCACCAAGCACATTTCTCACTGGGTACTGCAGGGAGTATGTCTGTGCCTCAATGCTGACTGATAGTCTAACTGTGATAATATTAAATTATTTATGAGAGATTTTTAAACTTTAATAACTTTAAAATGATTAATAAAGTAATAAAATAATAGAATATATTGTTTGTGACCAATGATTTTATTACAATTTCAAAAGACCTGTGCTGTTGAGGCGTTTTGTTTCATCACTAGGTGGCAGCACACTAATTATTGCTGCCAGGACCTGTTGCGTTCAGTTTTGTCTAATTGATTTCACTTAAATGTTAAATAGGAATCACTTTTTTATCTAATGACACTTCCTATGCTTTGTTCTCAAAATCTCAAAATGTTAGAGTAATTTGGCTAAAGCCAAAAAGGAAAATCACAACTTGTTTATAAAACCTGCCAAAAAATTAATTATTGACATCCCAATCTGTTTTCCAGACTCTCTTCATGTAGATACTTTGAACCAGTGTTGTAATTTTTAACTAAAACTAAAATTAATACAAATATTTTTTAATTGAAACAAGATAAATAAAATATAAATATTAGATGAAAAACATATTCTTCAAAAATCTAAACTTATTTGAGCTCATTTCTAATTTTCTTTCAAGTTGAAGCTCTAAAAATACTAAAATTAAAATAAATATGAAGCTAAATATAAAAATAAAAAATATTCATCTTTTTATATATTTCAGGTACCGTGTTCATTGTTTTCAGTGAATGGAGTTATTTCTACTTTTCAAACTAATTTCAATCAGTAACTCATCTTTGTGAACTTAATGGAAAGAACCGACTCATAAGAGTGACTCGGTTCTATGTTTTCCATCCATTAAAAAAGAACTGGCTTTAAGGTGAGCAGATTTCTAAAATTAAGTTTTGTACCAATCTCCCAAAACTTTGTATGTGAGGTACAATCGGTTTTAGTAACATACAACTTACCCTTCTTCAGAGCCCACGGCAAAGACCTAATTCTCTTACTATCTTTCTCACAGGTGGTGACCTGTCTTTCAGTGACCTGACCAAAATAGTGTCCAGAATTAGAGCCAGTGAAGCAGGCTGTCATAGAAGGTGAGGAATGAGCACTGTATTTAGCATACACCCACGTTCACATACTGCATTTATTCCTGCTCTTCATTCACCTTTTAATCTGGAGAACGAGTCTGAGCTTGTTGTCTGAAAATGTCTATTTATTTAACATGGTTCATGTAGTTTTTCCCCTTGTCACTGCATTCTGTCTTTGAATTTAGGCACAATATTAAAGTAAAAAACACGTAGCACTAGTGTTTTATTTTGGCATCACGAAAAGCACATTTCGAAAACTGGATTTCTGGATGGAAGTCCTTCGTTGCATTTTAAAATAAGCCTAAGTTTCATTGTGTGGTTTAAAAAAATTAAGTTTTGCCTCTTCATTTTCAGAAGTAATATATAAATATAAAATAATGACAGTGTTATACTTAAGTTGTCACAGTAACTTTTCATCATGTGTCACCATGAAATTGCAATTAAGCAGCAATGTACAGTGTGAGAAGTATATGATGCCTCACACAGGGTCAATTACAGGTCTCAGTACATTGCTGTTCAGCATATATGCTAACAAAATATCTGATGTCTGTCAAATGTATGCTGATGATGCTGTTATTCACAAACATGCAAAAATATGCAGCTGACTACATATACAGGTACATCAGCAAAAATTGAATATTTCAAACTCAATACCAAGAACAATATGTGAGTTTTTTTCTTTCTTTTTTTTTTTTTTACTACAAGGACACATTTTGAGACCTGAAGTAGTTAATATATATATATACTGTATATATATATATATATATATA